TACGATCGAGGAAGTCCTTCGTGCCCTGATATCTGAAGTACATTGAGGATACAAGCCCAGCGAATGAGCTTGCCTCGTCAGATTGCAATTCGAGTATCCAAAGGCAAGAGAGATAGAGAGAGAGAGAGAGAGAGAGAGAGAGAAAGGGAAAGAGCGAGAGGGAAACCGTATCGGAACGCGAGACCAGCGAGAAAGAGAGGAAAGCAGATTTCCCGAGATATCGATCGGATATACGGCGTATTCCGCGCACCGTTCCTATCGCCTGACAAGAGTCAGCCTCGATTACGACCTTTCGTAATTACCTGAGGGTCTGCAATCGTGAAGGGGGCAACAGCTACCGGGTGTCTCGGGCTTGGCCGCCCGCACCTCGACCGGCCGTTGACCAGATCGGCACTTGGGCGGCGGACATGTCGGGACGCACTTGCAAATGCCATCGTCCGTCAAGACACTATCCTCGGGACAGAATGACTCGGTCCGGTGATGATGATCTGCAAAACCATCAGTGTGATTAGACGACTCCGTGAATCTCCGTTATCTCGACTTGTCGAGGTAACTTGTGAAAGAAGTGCATTCTAACTTTATACTCGCTATAATAATTATCGCATCGTAATTAAACGTCGATTTATCATTTAATAATTTTAAATGGAGAAAATTACGTTTGAAACGATCGATAGATCGGTGTTGCGTCTTAATGGCGCGTGCAACGGGACTTGACTATTTTATTTTTCTACCATATATATCGAGATTTTTATTTGTTTTCCGTAAGCACTTCTTTATATAAGTCTTTATATAAGGTGTTCCATCTCACGGTTGTCTAAAGTCAACATTATCATCGGCCTGACGTTTTTCAAACCTAGCGCAGTTTAATCAAAGGAATGAACGATGTTTACACCACCGCGCCATATCATTTTCTCGGTTTCGTAACGGATCTTCCGCGCGCGCGCGCGCGCGCGAAGCTATTCATTACGCTTGGCAAATATTATTTTTCGCCCCGGACACGGGCCTATTTATGAATTCTATTACCTGAGGGAATGCAATTGTAACGGGGGCAGCAGTTACCGGGGGTCCCGGAAAACGACCCCCTCACCAATACCGCCTGCTGATCCGGTCGGCACTTGTGGGGTGGACAGTCCGCACATTTGCAACCGACGCCGTTTTCGTTCGGCACACTGTCCTGCGGGCACCCGTCGACGACACCGTCGTGTGCGGCTCCTTGAAACAGAAAAATCGCCAGCGAGATTAACGTCAGGACCAGAATTCCCGGGGACGGCCGGCGATATGTCCGACGAAGGACGACGCCATTAAAGCGCTCTACGTCGAAAGATATCTCCGCCGCTCGGGATTCTTCTCGAAACGCTTGAAATTGCGCCAGGCTATTCGGTGTACTTTATTATCAATGGTACTTTGCACCAATTTGCTGTCGTACCAAGTGCCCGAGAATTACGTCCGTTACTTTCGTATATTCCTCGGCCGGTTTAAAGAAAATTTATCGCCCGGCAGAGATGTCAAGTTACTAATGGCGTTTGAATCCTGTACCAACGAGGACTCTAAAATATTTTACAATTTTAGAATGTAAAACTATTTTAATCTATCTAATTTTTAATTTAATAATTATATTTATTAATTAAAATTTATAAATTAAAATACAATTTAATTATTTATAGAAGAGAGTTCCAAGAAAGTCCGTGTGTATGTTATCAGCAAATACTCGATGATACTTATTCGATTTCTATTTATTATTTCATTTTGTTAAATGAGCTTGAAGCTAAGCAACTCACTTTTTACTCCATCCGAAATAATATAATGACGGTAGTAATTTCCTGAAAATAAATTTTATGCCGTGCCGTCTTTCCCGGCCCGCCCCTAATGAATCTTTTAAACACCTTCCCATTAATAACCCGACGGCAAATGCTCTGTAATTATATTGATATATGTGACAGGCGAACGTGCGCGCGTCTCTGATAAAAAGACATCGGTTCTTCAGTTGGGACCGCCGCGCGCCAGCGTCACAAGTTATACGACGTGCACCAGTGACATTAATATAAATTCCCAAATGAGCCCAGGAAAAGAGATATATCCTTGTCAGAGACGCGGCAAGGATCGATTATTTTATTCAACGGATTATCCCGACACCGAGGATACACACGCATTGTCCCGCATGTGTGTATTCGCGTAGGTTCCATCGTGCCGGAGATATGGAGAACGAGAAAAATAGCGAGCTTGATGGATGCCAAACTGGAAATCTCGAGGGAGGGGGAGGGGGGGGGAGGGAGGTACGCGATGCGCTGAGGTATAAGGGGAATGATAAGCGGAATAAGAAGATAGTACGAATCGTTGAACTCCATTTCCAGGCAGGTTTTAAGCGGATTCAAGCGGATTATTTTCTAATGATTCATCTCGCAGCCGCCGTTTTTATATCTCCCGTATGAGAAATAAACAAATCAACGCGAAGAGTCTCGAAGATATTGTAAATCTAAGGTTAGATGACTGCGTCGTATTTAATTACGAGATACGGTCGTAAATTCTTGGGACTCTATCACAGCGCGCAAATGTTCATAACGTGAATCATCGTTGTCTCATACATACTAAATACGTATGTTTGCATATAGAGATAATTTCCTGCAGATTACATCTACAGGTCCCAAGTTGATCTTGAAAGCTCAGTGAATTGCATCGAAATGGTCATAACTAAAATACCCATAATAACATCCATGATAATTAGAATATTTATAATACAATTATTGTTACACTTTAAATTTATTATAATTTTTATCTTTACCGTGACATGAAGAAATGCTGAAATAAACCCGAAAATTTAAAATTTTTATAATATATTGTTAAGATACTTGTGGAATATGAAATTTTATTATTGATTCAGCTAGAAAGTATTACGAACGGCGTTTTCATAAAGAAGAACATTGTGGCTGTGCATAACTGCGAGTGACATCGAAGTCTTTTAAAGTTACGTGATATTGCAACGAAAAACCAGATGTGGAAGAAATACGGAAAGAAAAGAAAAAGTTTAAAATTGTCTTTTCTATCGATTTGGGAAAGCGGAGTTTGTATAGAGACACTTTCTTACTGAAGCTGTTAAAGAAAGCGGAATATTCGATATACAGGAATTTTTGGGATCATTCTCTAAACACAAAACCGTAAGAAGATTCCACGATTTGTCAAATGCGAATCTTTAAAAAGAATCCAAAATCCAGTAAGTTCAAAATATAAGAACAGTCGTAACATAAAATAATTCCGCAGAAAAAAAAAAGATCGAAACGCAAAAAACAGCCGAAAATTCGAGAGCGAAAAGGAATTGCTTTAATAATTACAAATTTTCCCTTTGACATTTAAGGACGCGAATTCGCTTAAAACTTCATTTGCCTAGCTTAATAGAGCTTAATCCGGCCCCGTAAAAATTTAATGTCGAATGTCTCGCTCATACTCTTTCGAGTAGTTTATAAAATATACATCACAAAAGACGAAAGTAGTACTTTCACCTTTGTGAAATTTAAGAATCGCCGTTTCGCCGACGGCACTTGTTCACAACGTTCCTCAGAGCGACTCTTGCATATACCAGAAGGCCCGCGGAAATCGGCGATTACGGCCGATTCTCCGTATCCGTGGATGAGTCCGCACATCCTGTGGAACGCGCAATCCGCTGTACTCAGCGATAGCGAGAGAGAGAGAGAGAGAGAGAGAGAGAGAGAGG